CTCCGGCAAAAAGGCCTGGCACTCTTCACTGTTCAGCAGCTCTTCAGAGTGACTGACTGTCCCCTCTAGGCCTGGTACTGTTCAGCAGCTCTTCAGAGTGACTGACTGTCCCCTCTAGGCCTGGCACTGTTCAGCAGCTCTTCAGAGTGACTGACTGTCCCCTCTAGGCCTGGTACTCTTCACTGTTCAGCAGCTCTTCAGAGTGACTGACTGTCCCCTCTAGGCCTGGTACTGTTCAGCAGCTCTTCAGAGTGACTGACTGTCCCCTCTAGGCCTGGCACTCTTCACCAGCTCTTCAGAGTGACTGACTGTCCCCTCTAGGCCTGGTACTGTTCAGCAGCTCTTCAGAGTGACTGACTGTCCCCTCTAGGCCTGGCACTCTTCACCAGCTCTTCAGAGTGACTGACTGTCTCGCTCCTTTAGGCGACTATTTGAAGGTCTAACATATCTGCGACCAAAATATGACTCTATTTGTTCTTTTCTATTAATGAGAATACAATTTTTACATTTCCATTTAACAGACTGTTTTGCAACACAATAATCTATATTATAACCCATATTAAAGTGAACTCTCAAGTTTTAACCCTTTTCAATAACTTGCTTAACAATGTATCTGTTGCTAAAAGTGAACATCTTTCTACTAACTTGCTTAACAATACTTTTGTAAAGATAATAATGAACTTCTCTCCATTAATATGACAATAATTAATACAATAAAAAAAATTATAAAATAAACTAATGCACATCATAGTCTAGTGATCTTTCTGTGTGTTTCAAATCTTTCTACTAACTTGCTTTACATATGAAGATGAATATGTTTTCCAAAAACATGATAATGATTAAGTACAGTAATAAAATTAGATCATCTTTCTAAAAATTCCTAAGTGATATATCTATAATGATAAAGAACACATTTCCAATCAGTCGCTCAATAATGTTTCTATAAAGATTAATATCTCTGCATAAACTTGCTAATGATTGATGAAAATTATAATGGTTAACAGGTGTCCACAAACTTGCCTTACGGTGTAAGTATGATATACAAAAATATCTTTCTGACAACTGGTAATAATAATAATTTACTATCTGTAATTAATGTCCCTAATTTTTCGTTTTCTGCATACACCATGAACAGGGCAGTGAGCAAATCATGTTGTGGTTTATAGCTAGGTTGGGATATCTGTGCCTTTTATTCCAACACATCTGATTTCAGCAAAGTCTTAATTAGTCACTTTGTACAACATGTCTGTTAAGGCTAAGTGAATCTATCTTTTACCCCCAGAACCCACATGGGGTAAATGTACCTAATGATATATTTATGATGATAACAGGCAGATATATATTTAAAAAAAAAAGGGTTTTCTAACAGAATATCTTCCCACTGGCTTTCTTAAAGAGGTAATATGCCAAATAACATGAAAAACACAAATGTCACAGAACTGCAACAAACTCAAGTCCATAGGAGAGAATCTATTTTATATTGTAAACTGTTTGCTATAGCTTAGTGTATATTTCGTCAAATGTCTTCTGCATATTTAGGAAATGGCAGGCGGCTAACTGCCAAAGAACTGCCTTATGCAGTAATGTGTATACATCTGCTAGTGTGCCATGGCTGCTGTTTCCATGAAAGATGAACTGAAGTTCTAGTAAAAGACTGTTGGTGTTGGCAATTAATGCATGTGCGAGTTGTTCCACGTTGCCAAGGCTGCTGTCTTGACTGTTCACCTGGAACAGCAACAGGAATTAGGTCTGATTTTCACTGATCTGCACCTGGGTAGACCCAGAGGGTCTGGCCGGCTCACTACACTCAGAGGAAAGGCAAGACAGACTTTTAACCAGATTGTGACTGGTACCATCAGTATTGGAACTCTGCGCTGGCTGCTGAAGATGAGGACAGAGCATGCATGGAAATGCCTAAAGTGCTGTGATGTCAATTCTTGACTCAACTTAACTCAACTCTTTCACTGATCTAGAAACAGAGCAATTATAGGGTGACCCATTTGTCGTGTAGTTGGAACCAAAACTGATAACCTGTCTCCAGTAGATCTTGCAGGTTCCTGCACTGTCTGAGGTCTAGTTTCATCTGGCTATTGAATAAGCAGCTCAGATAAATATATGGTTCAATGTTATAGTATGTTCTGCACTTATAATCATTGATCATTACTACTTTGGATGAAAGTGATCTTCATCACTTGTGATGGACAAACAACATGTTTTGCCGCTTTATGGACGAATTTAGGACCTCACACTCTTGCATATTTGATACACAACATGCAATATGGCAGACAGACATGGCAAAACATTCAGCTTTGAAGTTGTATTTGCCCCTGGCAACACTTAGCTTATGCAGTTTCCACATATGGAAGGAAGTCTAAGGTGTCATTGCCTAAGATGAGTTGAGTGTTGGGTGCAGTACTGTGAGCTGTATTTTTCATGTGAAATGCTTTTTATTTGTGTTGTGGTATTCAGTATGGGCTGATAAAAAAAACCTTATGTAATAATTTTGCCCTTATATGGCCAACTCATTGTGACTGACTACTTCCAAAATGACAAACTGCAATTCTGGTGACAAATATTGGGTCTGGCACCTTTTGCAGCCGCTTTATGCAATTACTGCATGGATTTTTCCAGGACTAGTTGTTTTTTCACCAATTTTCAAATAGGACAGTGAGGGATTTTCACCGCCACAGGAATGGAGCAAGTATGAGGCGACCTGACTGCAATAAACTGAAACTTCGACAACAACTATAACACACATCATCAACATCATCACATAGCAGGTCCTTTGCAGAACGTCGCTCTCATCACGGTCTGTCTGAAAAAAACTCAGTCTCTTGCCAGCTCTCACGCCTCATGTACTATACTCAAGGATTCACTTATATCCTGTGCCCATCTTCGTGCTGGTTGGCCCATGCCCCTCCTTCCTGGTACCATGCCTTTTGCTATTATTTTTTTCAATCAGTAATGGTGCTTGATATGACCAAAATATTTCAGCTTCCGAGAAAGGATGCTGTTTTTTAGCCAATCTTCCTTGATGTTCAGATCTTTCAAGATGTCAGTATTTCTACTCTTCTTTGTCCAAGACATTCTGAGAATCTTTCTATAGCATTTCAGCTCAAAAGCCTTTGTTCTCTTTCTTAAGAACTGGGAGATGGTCCACAACTCACATCCGTATGTTGCTACAGGGAAGATGCATGCTCTCAAAATTCTAATTTTGATCTCCCAAAATGTAATGCTGTTTAATCTTTGCATTAATATGGCCATCCTCCTGTTAATTTCTGTCAAACAGTCTCCATTGCTAATGACTTGTTTAGCCTAGATATTCAAAGTTTGAGACACACTGACATACACTGTCTGCAAATATGAGAACCAGACTTGCCAACTGCTGAATAGTCATGAAGAAATTATTTGCAAGACGATTTCATAATTCAAATACTAACACTGATTCTGACAGGCCCATCAATGGTAACACGCTTGATAAATAATAATTTCCCCGGTGGGTTCTAGGGCCCTAATATAGGGAAAACAAGAACAGATCCACTGCCTACCCAAAAGCATGTCCTAAGAGTCGACTAACTGGGAGCTTACTTCAAAGTCACAGTGCATCTGCCTGAGAGGAATCGACAGTCTGCATACAAATAATTAAGGTCTGTGAAACTGATGCGCATGCAACACTCAGGTTCTGGAACAGGACTACAGTCCAGAAGTGGATGAACAACCAGAACTTTCCGTCAGAGTTTATAGCTGGTGAATGCGAAGAAGAAGAAGAATATATGACAAAGTAAACTCATGCCCCATAGATAATTTATTCTGTGTCTTTGCTGGTCTAATAATGGGGTTCTTCCAGTCCCAGAAGATACAGCTGATGTTTGATTGAAGCAATAATGATGACAATAAAAGCATGGGTATACTGCATCCACAGGGTCCCAATACACAGCACACTGTGGGTGACTGGTGTTGCTGGGTTGATTTAGTTTGCTTGACTAAACTCAAGATGTACAGGTACATTGAAAAAATGCTGACTGACACACATGAGTAATATTCAGTATACATGGTGCATTGTTTGGGCCTGAAAGAGTTAACCTGTTTCAGACCAAATACAGGCTTCTAATTAATTACCCAATATATCCCTTTTTCCCAGGTTTTTTCAGACTGTTGAAAATCATCAAACCTATTTAGGCATCAGTCCTCCCCACTCCCCACCCCAAAGTTAGTTGCATATCCTTTACAGGATGTTGCAGAACCAACCCCAGCAGTTTTGTTTCTAGGCAAATTTTACTTTCAGTAGTTTGCCACTGCTTACTGAATAGTCAGCTCTCTGTACCACTGTCGAGACCGACGCAAAACAAACCTTCTGCTGCAGGGACTGAACCCGACACTAAAAAGCGCATTTTCAAAGCCACAGCCACCAACATTTCCCCAAAGTCAATGGTTACATGTTACTTTATGTAAAGATAGCCAGGAATACAACAGCTGGACATTTTCATCTAGGACAGACTAAAAGCGTAATGGACTGTCCATACAGTTCTGTGATTTTCGTGTGTGTGTACTTTGATTAAGAAATTGCAAATAGAAAAGAGCAGGAAGTAAACAGCAGTAGCATCCTGACTCATAGGTCAATTTCCATACCTCTATCAGTGAGCTTTCATACCTCAATTATTTGGTTCCCCTAACACTGTTAGCTCCCTCCCTAACCAATATCATTTGGTTCCTCTGCTCCCATTATTTGGTCTAAATACTTATATCATTTGGTTCCTATAACTACCATTTGATTCCTACACTCTGATTGTTTGCTTTCCTACCTATATAATTTGGTTCCAAAACTGATGGTCAAGAACACCTTACATTGCACAGGAAAATAAAATGACTATACAGTCTTGTCTTTTTGGCATAAACATATTTCCAATATCATGAACAGGTGGCGCCAGGTCGGCAGGTGACGCCAGGTCAGCAGGTGGCGCCAGGTCGGTGATCTAAAGAAGAATCACAAAGAGATGTACTCAAAACAAAATGTCAGATGAGCTGCTTGTGGACCATGTGTTGGTATCATCTTCCTCTGCTGGCCTCAGCATGAGCTTGTCTGGGTCAACCACAGGCTCTGGCTCTACTGGTTTCTTTGGCTCTTCCACCTGTACAGACCCCAGCTGATAATCCTGCTGGAAACGACCTCTGTAGGACTGTAGGCTACCTGCAAATGAAAGGAGATGTGGATTCAACTCATTATTACTGAATGTTAACAAAACTGAATACACAGTATTTTCAAAGAAAGAAGTTTCTATTAAAGTATTCTTTCTTAGAAATTATGTACTCTAATATGTTTAACAGAAAGAGAATTCTTAATAGCTATATATAAATCCTATCTTGATAATAAGGAAGTGAATCATGGATAGTTGGTAAACTAGTGAAAACTTTTTTGGGAAGCTGCAGAGATGTGGCTTTATAGACGAATGACAAGAATACCATGGACAGATAAAAAGAAGTGAAGATGTCTTGAAAAAAAAAACTGACTCATGAAGAGAACTGACTGCATACATCAGAAAGAAATCATCTTCATTCTTTGGTCATGTCATGAGAAAGAGAAAACTGGAGAACATCATGACAGTAGGAAAGCTGGAGGGGAGGAGAAAGGGGGAGACCGAATGGATAGATGCTAGACAGTCTGACATCGTAGCCTGGAAGATCATCTGTGTTAGAGCTGACTGAAAGTACACCAGACAGGTTGTGGATATAGACATGACTACCAGCGCCACACGGCATGGACTAAGAAGAAGAAGAACATGTAAAGTGAAAGACCATTTTCATATCTTAATGCAAAGTAAGCACTTCAATGCAGCTCTTTGTAGTAGATTATGTTGTTGTTGTGCTCTTTCGTTTTCCTAAGCCTCCTTCTTCACGCTTACTGGATGTAAACTACAAAGTAAAGTCCGGGTTGTTCATCCACGTCTGGACTTTGTGGCTTTGAAGAAGAAGCAAAAACAAGGCCTAAGATGAAGCCAATGATGGTAAAGAATAAAAGCAAGGTGAGTGAGGCAGAGGAGAAGGATAATAAAAAGAAGAAGACAGCTATATGCTGGCACAAGCAACAACAAATAAGAAAAAAGAACACTAATCACCTGCATGAGCTAGGGAAGTGTTAGACTTCAAAAGATCATCATCAGCACTGCCTCTGGGTGTCACAGGAGTCTCATACACATCAATCTGCACTTCATCAGACGACTCATTGCCCCCACCGGTAAAGTCTTCCAAGACCAGGATTTCATCTTTCTCATGAGGGTGGTCTTCCAAGTAGTGCTCCAGAGCAGTTGCCTCATTCGGGTACTCAAAGGTTTCTGTTTTAGCATCGTTGAAATGAATGTTGATCTGGAATAGAAACAAGGCACAGTCTTAAATGCACTGACTCAGTGATGATTTATAGGCATAGTCCAAAGCTTGGTTTTCTGGGGGGAAAAAAATAATATACCCCCTGCTCCCTTTCGCCATGAAAGGTGACTAATTAGGGGTTTTCTGAAACCAGACATGTTGGCCCAAAAAGCACAGATATTACAGCCTAGCTGTAAACCACAAATCAACAATCCCCAATTGCCTTTTGAACAGTCAAGAAGAAAATGAACAACAGCAACTAACATATTCATTCACCCAGGTTTTGCTGGGGACTTTTGAGGAAGGAAACAAAACATGCGTTAGGACAGTTCTCCTCTGTGGAGCAGAAACCTGGAAAACAGACAAAAAGATAGAGAGCATGCTCAGAGGTTTTGAGGGAAGACTTCTCAGAAGATTGTTGGGGTTCACATGGGAAGATAAAATCAGCAATTCTAGATTACAACAAATGACAGAAGATGTACATTTATAAATCAAAAAACGAAGAGGGAGGTGGACTGGACATCTTCTAAGAATGAAGAAAGATAGACGGCCGAGACAGGCAATGAAATGGACACCACAAGGACAGTGATGAAGATACAGGCCTAGGGGCACCCAGAGGCGAACCTTTCAGGCTGAACTCAAGGCTACAGGAAGGTCAAAACTGGACATAGAGAGGATGGCACAGAATCGAACTGAGTGTCCACAGTTTGTCTCTGCCTCATGTGTCTCTGGACACGATGAGGATTGACTGAAACAATTTAACCCTATAACCTACCATGCATTTTAGGCTATTCACAGACGACAGCATAAGTAAAACAGATAGAATGAGAAAAGAAAGGGAGAACAATATTTGCAACAATATGCAAACACTACTGACATCTAGATAGATAAACAAGACGTTAACAATGAGAACTGTCAAATGTTATGTATGCTTAACCCTGAAAGTTTTAAAGTTAAAATCAAGAGGATAAACTTAATTACACTGGATTTTATCGCATTTGGCTCAGTCTCTCTCTCTCTCTGCAGAACAACTAGCTAGCCGCCTGCCGAGTATGTTGCATAAAGCATGAACACTGTAGCTCCTGTGATAATAATCAGGTGTCTAAAAATTGCATCATGATCTAAAGGACACTACCATGACACGAACCCATGACCTTCACAGCGCGAGCGAACGGATATACAACTTCTCAAAAGAGACCCCCCAAATAGAAAGCATGCCTTACCCTGCTCTGTGTGTGTGTACAATGAGCAAGCAATTCACTGTGTGGGTTCCAGGATTCCACTGGGATGTCCTGTTTCAAGCTCAACATTTCAGCAGATGTCCGGTTTTCAGCTGGTGTTATTATGGTCACTCTGACAATGGGGACCCAGAACCCACACAGAGAACAAAAGGGATATGGCAGGTCATATTTAACATCGGCTTGATGCTGGCACGATTATTATCTACACATCAAGGCGTTCTCATCATGGTCTGTCTGATGGAAACTCGGTCTCTCGCCAGCTTTTCTTCTTCGTGCACTTTCACACATGAGGAGTCACTTAAAAACTGTACCCATATTCGCGCTGGTCGGCCCCTGCCCCCTTCCTGGCACCATGACCGCTGCTATAATTTTTTTTTTCAATCTTGACATGGCCAAAATATTTCAGCTTCCGAGACAAGATGCTGTTTATTAGCCAATCTTCCTTGATGTTCAGATCCTTTAGGATGTCAATTTCTCCTTTCTTCTTTTCTTTGTGTATATTAATTTGTTATGATGACGATTCTTTAAAAGCAACCAATATACTTTAAGGACAGGGGCGGAAAGATACAGAATACGCTAAAAGACACAAGTTACTGGGCATCTACCAGAAGATGGCACTAAGTTCAACGAACGTTTGAAAGAAGAAAAAACAAATTAGAAGCAGCCTCTCGGAATCCGCCAGCAAGAAAAGACAAATCGATAGCGTCAGCGAGGCCCTGGCATGTCGGTGCTCATTTCTGGCAACAATGTCCATTAGATGTAACTGCTGGTCTGGCTTTGTTGCCACCAGCCAGACATGACAAGCACCCAGTCGTTTAGCCACACAAAGGGACACGGGGAGAGAAAAGGTGGAAAAAAAGGCACCGGGTTGTGGGGAAAAAACAGGGGGGGGGGGGGGGGGAGGTAATGACACGAGGAAGCAGAAACATCAACAGAGAGAGAGAGAGAAAGAAAGAGAATGATGGAAAGAAAAACGAAGAGATCATAAAAGAAAGACGAGAGAGAAGTTATAATAAGAGAGAGACATACAGATTTATGGAAAGAGATGTGGAGAAACGGGAGTTTTGGAGAGAGGTGGAGACAGAGAGAGACAAAGACAGAGAGAGGCTATGGAAATAGAGGTGGAGAAACAGGGAGTTATGGAAACAAACACACACATAAAGAGCGGGGAGACATGGAAAAAGAAATCTCGTCTAATAATCTGCACTTGACACCTCACTTCTTTCATACATCATTTCATTCACACGCCCTTTTTATAGAAAGACAGTCAGATAGACAAGCATGTAGGCAGACAGATATACCAACAGATAGACAGACAGATTTATAGAAAGAAAGATAGATTAGGTAAGTAGACAGATAGACATTCAAAGATCTTATTAAAGGTAAAGAACTGAGCAAATCAACCAATCAGATGTGCTCCCTCGGCAAAGAAAGTTGACGATTTTAGATCTCCAACACGCTCCGTCTCTAGTCGTGGTTTGCGGATGCGTCCTAGATTGTGCTGATGCGTCCTAGATTGTGCTGATGCGTCCTAGATTTTGCTGATGCGTCCTAGATTTTGCTGATGTGCCCCAGATTTTGCTGATGTGCCCTAGATTTTGCTGATGTGCCCTAGATTTTTGCTGATGCGCCCTTGTTTTGCTGATGCGCCCTTGTTTTGCCATCTCCACAATGGGAGCCTGGCGGTAATGGATACGTGTGCCCACTGCGGTTTGAGAATATTACATGAGATCGTTGATCGAAAAAAAAAAAAAAAAACAGAGATGTGTGGAAAGGAGTAAAAGGGTCAGTTCCACGATATTCCCCCCCCCCTCCCCCCGGGAAACTAGGTCACGTTCCATTCATAGAATGTTTAGACTCGTCTGCTGTCCGGGGTGTTACGCGTTGCGACTATGTTGTTTACTTTCTGGCTTGTCTTGCATTTACGTTTTTTTTTTCAGAGAAAGAGAATGCCTGTGATATAGGTTGCAGGACTCTCTAGCCGGGTTGTGTGTTAGACCCAGTTTCTAACTCTAGCCGGGGTGTGTGTTAGACCCAGTTTCTAAATGTTTTTGTAGTGTTAAAAGCGCTGGCGTTTTTTTTTTAAATATCCAGAAACCATGAGTTCAACCCTTTGGCTCGGTACTATGGATATCGCAACCTTTCGGCCTTGATTCCATGATAAATACCGTAAATCTGAGAAATATGTGGCTTAAATGCCTACCCCCGGGCGTGAACCCGGACCAAAAGGAGTTCGTCACCCGGTCGTCGCGAAGTCAGGTTTAGCTAACAACGCTAGCGAGCCGGGCGCTGGCGTGCTTAAATATTCAATACGCGAAATCAACGGCATTGCCGAACACCCTGTAGCAGTGTGCGAAGGCCTAGTGACTGTAGGTCAACCCATCAGAAGTGAGCTAGTGTGTATATGGGGAGATTATCGTGAGACTGACCAGTTAAAGAATGCCTACTTCTGGACTTTAGTTCCAGGACAGAACTCAGCACTTACAATCGAGCTTTCCTATCCAGTTGTAATCAATATTTAAACACCGAGTTAACCTTAAAATTACAACCTTCGGGCAAGCATAAACTTATTAACACGTGGCACATTTTATTGAGAATATTCATCTTACACTTACGCGAAGTTGATTGAGAAGAACGCGTCAGAAACAGCCTGTTTATGCAAAACAAGAAGACCTCCCAATATAGGATATCGTTATTGCTCGATAGCGCTCAAACGGGCCATGAATCAAAACACTGTACATACATTCACGTACTGGAGGTTTTACAGATGCGATGGATACGGCCAATCGATCAGACAGTCGATTAACTTGTCCATCTATAACAGAGTGTGTACCATAAACTCTGGCGGATAATCAGTTTAGACACGCTTGGAAAAGGGAGGGGAGGGGGAAATAATATGCATAAACACGAATGTATTTAAATAAGAAAAAGAAAAAAAGTTATGTCGTATGGTAGAGACATAGTTGTATTCTACACATATTCCCCGTGTGGGTTCCGGGGCCCTGTTATAGGGAAAACAAGAACAGACCAACTGCCTTCCCAAAAAGCATGTCGTAAAAGTCGACTAATCGAGAGCTTCCTACAAAATCGGAGTACATCTGCCTGAGAAACAAGGAACCAGCAGTCTGCATACAAATGAGTCAAATCTGTAAAACGGTTGCACAAGCAACAATCAGGTTCTGGAACAGGACTGCAGTCCAGAAGTGGATGAACAGCCAGAACTTTTCGCCAGAGTTTACAGCTGGTGAACGCGAAGAAGAATAAGAAGGAAGAAGAAGAATACAAACAGAGTCGTATTATAGAGACACTGATGTACTGTATTAATACAGTCGTACTGAACAGACGCCGTCGTCACGGTCGTATTGCGAAGGCACCGCCTAAATCTCCCCCTGTACCACACAGTTTTGCCTTGTCTGAGGTTGGAAAAGGCCAGGTTGCTTCTCTGTTAGCAGTATACAGTTTAAAGTTAGGGTAAGAATGGAGACAATCAGAGGTCAGAGAAAGTAAAGGTACACTGAAGACAATCAAAGGTCAGAGAAAGTAAAGGTAAACTGGAGACAATCAGAGGTCAGAGAAAGTAAAGGTAAACTGGAGACAATCAAAAGTCAGAGAAAGTAAAGGTACACTGAAGACAATGAAAGGTCAGAGAAAGTAAAGGTACACTGAAGACAATCAAAGGTCAGAGAAAGTAAAGGTACACTGGAGACAATGAAAGGTCAGAGAAAGTAAAGGTACACTGGAGACAATCAAAGGTCAGAG